TGGGATATAGAGAGCAGAGCCTGAGTGGAAGTAAACATCAACAACATGGCCATAAAACGAACCCCTCCTCCCTGTGGGATATAGAGAGTAGAGTAGTGGAACTAAACACCGCCTTATTATAAATGGCCATAAAACGAACCCCACCCCTGGAATATAGAGGACAGAGCAATCGGACTAAACGGCTTAGCAGGGGTGTAGCCAGGATTTTTCAAAGGGGAGGTCACACTGTGTCAAAGTAAGGGTACTCACCAGATTGTCATGTCAGTTTCACCACCTGTTGTAGGTTGTTTGCTTAAAAATGGCTTACAAAAGGGGGGTCACTGGCACTCCAGGACCCCCCTAGCTATGCCCATGCTTCAAAACCTCAAGAGAAATAATTGAGTTAAGTTTATTTTCATTCAAATACTTATACTCATTCATATTTTTAGGCTTAATAGAATACTGGAGGGGGTGCGGTACTCCCAGAAAAATTGAGTGGGGGTGTGTGGCCTGCTACCCAAAACCCTCTATTTACTTATGACCTGAAAAAGTAGCTTCTTCTAAAAAATATACCCAGTTCAAGACTAGAGAGCATTGACCAAACTGGCTGAAAACCCTAACCTTTGGGCCGCACTTTTCCCATACAAATCCTTATATTTATTTTGACTGATTGCTTTAACTCAGTACTACTGCATGTAACTGGATGCTCACTTTCCTAGCTTGGGCTACCTGTGTTGTAACCAAAAAAACTACACTTTGTCCAGATACTGAAAACTGCGCTGTCTACACATACAGAGACACTAAAAATGTAGAATAATTGAAGTGATATCCTGATTGAATCATTAAAGGCAGTGCAGGGACGTAGCTAGCCTTTAAGCCATTAGTAGCCAAAAGACCATATTTTCTTTCTCTTGCTATTCAATGGCGAATCACCGCTGTATCAATGTTTCACTTTGAAAAACAAAATAATGACTTTCAATCAGAAGCATATCACCTGATATGCTTCTGCTTTCAATCTCATACATGAAAAAATGCTGAAAGGTTATTAACGAAACAGAACTTTGAAATAGCTTTGCGCACGAAAATTTAGTTGACTTTTGTTGTCGTTGTGTGTTTTTTGGACGTTGACAAAATTTGATATACGACTTACGCTGTATAGGTTGCAGGTCTAGAGGGATGGGAGGGGACCACCCTTCCCTCCAGTTTTTCTTAATAAAAATTACAGGTAAAAGAGCCCATCTTCACTTAAACACTCAATCCCGTCCGTTTTAGTGGAGGGATATGCTGCTTTTGCCTATTTGTTTGTTTGTTTGTTCGTTTGTTTTTGGTGGGGGGTGGGGGTGGGCTTCTTTCTTCATCTTTCAGTTTCGCGCCTTTTCGAAAGATATTTGAGAAATCCTGGATCCAATTTCACTTCTCCCCAGTCTACCTCCAGCGGAACCAGATATACATGTTTTACAACGACAATCTGCCTCTTGTTGGTAATATACAATTTGTGGGTGATTGGGTAGCGAAGTCTTGGCAGTTGCGAAACGATCATTCTGGCACTGGTGGTTTGGAATAAAGCACCAGTTATTTCGCCAGCGTGAGACCTTGCAACACGCTTGATTGAGGCAGAAAGCGCGTTGCTTCGTCAATGTCTTTATCAATCGACTCGAATGGACGTCAAGTTCAATACATATGCAGTATTTCTTCCTTCAGGCTTTGATCAGTGTACACTCTCACTTCAAGTCTACATACAACGAAGATTGGCGTGGATAATTGCGTATTCGTGCTCGTATTGACGGTATGCCTGACCGACTAAATTTCGGTAACTTGCCATCAACTGTACATTTTTTATCGTCGAGTGCTTGTTTGGTGAATGGTTTTGACCGAAAACGTTCTGTAGTCAAGATTTGCGGTTTTATGGGTGAATTGTAAAGTGAGTATGTCTGAAGAGACGACAGCGGCCAGGGCAGAGACTGTCAGATTAAATGAAACAGCTCGACGGATATCATGTACCACTGATGGGTTTCTCGTCCCGTCTGGAGAGCTCGATTGTGACTTGCCCGTTCAACAACAAGACCTTGGTGGACTGCTCAGGCAAGTCGTGAGTTTGTTTTTCGTAGTTTTGTTGGTAAACTCCGACACCATTTGACCTCGATCTGTTTTCTTTGCGATTTCGATATTTTAGTCGAGCGAATTCGGATCTCAATCAACTATTCTTTTCTTCTATTCAATGCACAGGAAAGAGGGAAGATGTAGCGCCACTTTTTTCAATGGAATTGATGGCAATTTTTCATGCGACGAAACTAGCAGTTCGTAAGTACTATTTGCTGTTATGATAATTAGTCTCATTTTATTTCGGGGGAAGACTGAGCAGCAAAAGTGCTCTATTTATAAAATGTCTTCAGGCTATGTAGTCACAGGATATATATCACCGGTTGTTCATGTGAATTTGCACTGAATATTCTGTAGCTGAATTAAAGCTGTCAGCGAGTTAGGAAAGGAAAACAATTAAACTTTAATGATTTCTTAATGAGAAAACTAAAAATTGGTACTTTGCCGTTTTCGATTTTTTTTTATGAAATATTACTATTATACAACTAGAAATACAGAACTATCAGCATGTAGTGGCAAGTCTTGAGGAAAACCAAAGAAGAGTTTAAATTTCTAAGTCACAAATTATTTATTTGCATTATATTGTTAGTGATAAAATAAATTGAAATTGGTATATTCATACTCAGATTCATACTGAAAATTGGTTATGGGGCTAATAACATAAAATTAAAAACTAAAATGAAGAGCAATTCTTAATTAGGAGACCTGCAGATGTAGTGAAAATGCTTTTGAAAAAATCAATGGAACCCAAAAAATATATAACAAATTCTTCTATTTTTGGATTATTACGTAATATCTATCTTTTCTTTGATATTTATTTTCTTCGTCAGGTCATACAGATCAGGTCAAAGTAATCCTATAGTTCGCATATCAACAAGCATCTTAAGATCATGTAGAGGGTGATTGATGAGCAAGCTCGTAAATGTCAAATAAATGGTTAAATGATTGGTGCAAAGACTCATTGATTAACTGTAAGGTGTGAAGGATAAAAAATGCATCTATCATTGAAAAAAATTAAAAGACACTTGATTGATACTGAATTAAAAGCTGTCTGTCTTTGCATTGGTAGTTCAGGTCCTTTAATTGTATTCCTAAAACTAAATTGGTCAATTTGTTCATCAGTGTATATGACTCTATAAGTATTTGCATATATGCAATATTCCGTAGTTGGTTAATAATGATGGATGTGGAGCTTGAATTGAGGACAAAGTTATTTTTGATTATAAAGTGACTGATAATCATGCATGCACTTGGTTTATTTATTGCTATTATCTATTGTGTCAGTAAACCGCACGGAAATGACGTAAATGCAATTTACCATGCAATCAATGGTTTATTGGTTTGATAAAGTGCGTAAGGATATTTGCTTCAGAATTTTCATGTAACAAAACAAGCCAATAACAAATTCTGACTTCAGACAGGTTACAGTGTATATTGTTGTATTTACTCTTAAAAATCCAGTGTTGTGCAAACTAATGCTTGACTTTAATAAAATAAAAACAAAAAGTAAAAAATTTAGAAATCTATCTCTAATCCCTTGTGACTAGCAAACAAAGAGATCATTGCCCTAACTTCAGAGATTTTTCGGCATTTGCTTCAAAGTTTCAGCTAATCTAGAACAGTCATATAGATTGATCTTTCATATTTTAATTTCTACCAGAGTGTTGCCAAATTGATGAAAACATATACCAGTAGTATTAGACCTTGTTTTTATGACTCAAAGTATAAAGAAGTTTTGGAAAATTTGTTATGTGTTTCAGGTTCTTTGTCTTCCTTCGTCTTGTAGTTTACTCTTATACGAAGTGTCCTCAACAAACTGTAGCGTAATAAGTTGTTGTCAGTGTTGTTTGTTGTAGCCTTTTGTTTTGTTTACAGGTTGCAAAAGCCACATCCTTTACGCAGCCCAGTGACTAAACAACCCTCGTTGGCAAGAGCATTAACCATTTCCTCTATCTCAGAGAATGTGAACAAGCCGCTAGTATCAAAAGATTGCAGGAATTTTTCCAAGGCTCCTCTTAAGTTGAAGTTTCCTTTGTCTTCTAGGGGTAATTACTATAAATTACTTTTAATAACTTGTAACAAACTACATGCTGTGTGTCTTCTTTCTCTCCTTGTAAGAATCAGAGCATTCCTTGTTTAGCAAATTTAAAAACTAGTGACAGAGATAATCTCAGATAGTGCAGAGTGCAATACATTAGCTACTGTCACTTGTTAGTCACACAGGTCGGGAGAATTCAGCTTAGCCTTTTCCCCTTGCAGAATATGAATGGACAGATAAGTCTTGTTTAAGGCATAATCTTAGCAGTATGTAATTGTGCCTTGAGCGTATTTTCTTTCAAGTCTAAATGTAACACAATAATTGCAGCCAGGACAGTTTTCAATTTTACTGTGGTGTTGTTCATTTTAACTTCTATCAGAAGTTTAAGCAGAAAACTAAAAATTTTACTCGTCATATCAACGTCTGTAACTTGATACTTTTGGTTGCCTCGCAAAGGTACATGTATGTAATGTGACTCTCTTGTTTTCTTGAAAACACACAGAAGATGTACTTGTATGCTCCCAACTGAATCTATGACTTAATTCGATCAGTCCTTGAGGCAACCTGTTTATTGCCAACTTGTACTTTTAATGAAAATACGCATGTGAACCATGTACACTGCTAAGATAATGTCTTAATCAAAGTTTCTATCTGTGGATATTCTGCAAGTGGAAAAGGAAGTCAATACAAACAACCAAGGAGTTACAGGGGGTTGGGACCTGTGTGATTACCATGTATCAGTGCTGCACATTGTAGTCTGCAGTATCTGAGATTGTCTCACTAGATTTATGTGCACAAATGAGCCAAGGTTTGAGTAGGTGGTTCAATTTACAATACATTAAAACATTGCATACTGTTAAGTATCTCTTAACTCTTCGAGTGTAACTTTCAAGGACAGTTCAATTTCATATTGTACTGAATGTTTAAGGTCACTCAATCATTGTTGACTATTCTCTGAACACTGCTGAGGACAGACATGCTTTCTGTTCCTTAGCGGCAGCTTGGAATCTTGAAGAGGATGACGAGAGTGGAGTAGCAAGTGGTAGCACTGATGGAGTTCCTTTTGGATACACAACAGGAGGGTTATATTATTCAACTGATGTACGTCTTCAATCATTGCATACATTAGAGGTAAAAATTACATTATGAACGTACTTGCATTCGACATGTAGCCTTTCATTAATTAGTACTAGGAATGCCATAATATATAGCACAAATTACTGTCTAAATGTGTGTGTATATAAGAAACAAGAAATTTTATCTAAGATGTCCCAGTTATTGCACATAAAAAACCAAGCCAAGACATAACATTATTGATGTGAAGTATATATGAAATAATTCATATTTGAACTGCGGTTGTAGATGAAAGTGAATAATGATCATCGCAGTAAGTTTTCCAATTTAAGCAATTGGAAAGAAGAAGCCTGAAAAAATCAGGG